ACTAAAAACTTACCAACAAAGAAAAGCCCAGGCCCTGATGGATTCACTGCTGAATTTTACAAGACATTTAGAGAAGAACTACTATCATTACTCTTCAAACTTTTCAATGAAATTGAAAGGGAAGCTATACTTCCAAATTCATTCCTGGAAGCAAGTATCACTTTGATTCCCAAACCAGGGAAAGATACAACTAAAAAGGAGAACTACAGACCAATCTCCTTAATGAATATAGATGCAAAAATCCTTAATAAGATACTAGCAAACAGAATACAGAGGATTATTAAGAAGATCATCCATCCTGACCAAGTCGGATTTATTCCAGAGATGCAAGGGTGGTTCAACATACGAAAGTCAGTGAATGTAATACATTATATTAACAAAGTCAAGGACAAAAACCATATGATCCTCTCAATAGATGCAGAAAAAGCATTTGATAAAATTCAACACCCATTCATGATAAAAACCCTGCAAAAAATTGGAATAGATGGTCTATACCTCAATTTAATAAAGGCTATTTATGAAAAACCATCAGCCAACATCATATTGAATGGCCAAAAACTGAAAACCTTCATGTTAAAATCAGGAACAAGACAAGGATGCCCACTATCACCACTTCTCTTCAATATAGTTCTGGAAACATTAGCCACAGCAATTAGACAAGAGAAAGAAATTAAAGCAATAAAGATAGGAAAGGAAGAAGTTAAACTATCATTATTTGCTGATGATATGATACTCTACATTGAAGATCCAAAAAACTCCACCAAAAAACTTCTAGACTTAATTGACAGATTCAGTAAAGTATCTGGATACAAGGTGAATACCCAAAAATCAATAGCCTTTCTATACACAAATAACAGACAGACAGAAAGAGAAATAAGGGAAAAAATTCCTTTTACAATAGCATCCAAAAAAATGAAGTATCTAGGAATCAATCTAACAAAAGAAACAAAAGATCTCTACACTGAAAACTACAGCGCTCTGAAAAAAGAAATCAAAGAGCATATTAAAAAATGGAAAGATATCCCCTGCTCCTGGGTAGGAAGAATCAACATAGTGAAAATGGCCATACTACCAAAACTTCTAGATACATTCAATGCAATGCCAATTGAAATTCCAACACTATATTTCACAGAACTAGAAAAAAAAATCCAAAAATTCATTTGGAACCATAAGAGACCTAGAATAGCAAAAGCCATTTTAGGCAACAGACACATGGCACCAGGTGTAACAATTCCCAATTTGAAACTATACTACAAAGCCACTGTGATAAAATCAGCATGGTACTGGCAAAGAAATAGGCCTGAGGATCAATGGAACAGACTGGAAGACACAAAAACAAATGCAGATGTACTCAGCTACCTCATCTTTGACAAAGGAGCTGACCATCCTCAGTGGAGGAAAGATAGCCTCTTTAATAAATGGTCTTGGAAAAACTGGATGTCAACCTGCCACAGATTAAAATTACAAATTAAAATTAAAATAATTAAATAATTATTAATTAAAATAAGATAATTAAAATTGTCTTTTGCCATGCACTAAATTAAAATCCAAATGGATTAAAGATCTAAATATTAAAACAGAAACATTAAACTTGCTGGAAGGTAAGTTAGGCAGAACTCTGGAAGACATTGGTATAGGAAAAGACTTTACGAACAAATCCTCAGTAGCATGGGAACTAGCAGATAGAATCAACAACTGGGATCTCATCTTATGAAAAAGCTTCTGTACTTCTAAAGAAACCATCAGCAGAACTGAGACAATCTACAATGTGGGAAAAAATTTTTACCAGCTGTTCCTCAGACAAAGGACTATTATCAAGGATATATAAAGAACTCAAAACAATCAGTCCCCCCAAATATAAAGACCCGATCCAAAAATGGGCATCCGAAATGAACAGACATTTCTCAGACAAAGAAGTAAAAGCAGCAAGAAAATATTTGAAAAAATGTTCCACATCACTGGTCATTCGAGAGATGCAGATGAAAACAACACTGAGATTCCACCTCACCCCACAAAGAATGGCTGCTGTCAAGAAATCAACCAATAACAAATGTTTGCAGGGGTGAGGGGAGAGAAAGTAACCCTTCTCCATTGTTGGTGGGAGTGCAGACTAGTGCAACCACTATGGAAATCAACATGGAGATGCCTCAAAGAGTTTGGACTGGAGGTTCCATTTGACCCAGCCATCCCTCTGCTGGGTATCTTTCCAAGAGAATTAAAAGAATCATATCACAGAGAAGTATGTGCACCCATGTTTATAGAGGCACAGTTTGTAATAGCTAAATCTTGGAAACAGCCTATCTGCCCATCCATTGGAAACTGGATAAAGAAGTTGTGGTTTTTCTATAAAATGGAATATTAGTCAGCCATAAAGAACAAGTTAATAGATTCATTTGTAGGAAAATGGATACATACTGAAGATATACTCCTAAGTGAAATAAATAAGTCACACTTGTGTAAATACCGAATAGTTTCCCTGGTGTAAATAATCTGCAACAATGCATGAGATTCTAATAGGATTACTGACATTTAGAAATTGGAAGAAAGGAGCTAAAGATGTAGGGAAGGTGGGATGGGTAGGGGAAGAGTAAAAAGGGAAAAGAAAAAATTGTGAGAGAATGAAAAGATGAAAATAAAGTGTTTATAGATGGGGAGGGGAGGAGGGGGTGAAGGGAGGGCAGAGGTAAGGGGAAAAAATGAGAATCAAGGCTTGTCATGTAGAGGTACAAGATCCCAACAATGAATGTGACTGTACTGTATCCCTAAAATGTACCAATAAACTCAATTAAAGCTGGAAAAAAAATAAAATAAATAAAATAAAGTGTGAAAAAAAAGCACACCAACAAATATTTTACTGCTCTAACACAAGCTATGTGTATTGTCTGGGTGAGCAGAGCTTAGACTGAAGTATATTACCCCTTTGTGTCTGAGCAAGACACAAATGCATGATTCACTCTTAGCCCATGCAGGCTTTATTCAGGTTAGATTTTTGGTTTGACTATCATACAAAGTTACAAACACCAAGCAGACTTTTTTTTTTAACTTTGCTATTTTAATAATGGAAAGTTCAAGCTTGGAGCCATTTGACAAATGAGATATCACTGTACTTCTTTCATTTATCCACAATAAGATTCATGGAGACCTCACTATATGTCAGGAATGGGGTTTGCTGCTTATCAGAAGTCAAAACACACTCCTCTTCTGATGCTACTTAGAGCATAAGTAGAACTTGAGCCCTTTCCCAGTAGAGCTCTGTGGCACCTCATGAATTCTAGCTTGTGAGGGTCCACACAAGCAAAGGAAAAATCCTTATTATCTTTACTCCTACTGGTGATGAATAGAATCCTAAGGAAAGATTATCTGAGATCTTTTCTTTAGTTTTATGACTATCTTTATTTTAATTTTCCTTTATTTTCAGCTGAAAGCAACCTGCCACATGCATGCATCAAATGAAATATAATACAAGAGTTACAAGCTATAGATCTAGGAAGAGCTGCCTGTTGTGTAAAAAGTTTTAACTAGAAGACAACCTCATCCATTCTTTCAAGTACTGTCTATGGATGCTTTCGCATTACAATGGCTAAGTTGAATAGTTTGACTAAAAACCTAATGGCACAGAAACCTAAAACTATGCTATCTGTCCCTTTAAGAAAAAAAATTGCTAACATTGCCATTCTTTTTTTTAAACAAGAACATCTCATATACACATATGCTTTATTAAGAACTAGTCTTCATATTTTTCATGATGGGGTAGCACGTAGCATAAAAATGTGGGGATATGGTGTCCTAACTGCTCAGGGGTCTATCAGGATGGACCCTTTTGCCTCTAAGGCGTCGACTTCTGTGTGGAGCCCACTGAGGGCAGCTCTTGGTGGCCTGCCCAGGGCCTGTCTCCTGTATCCCATGGAAATGACTCTCTGGTGCAGCCAGCAGAAGGCCCTCCCCACGAGCTGACTTGCAGTGCTCGGTGGTCTGGCGGTGTCATCCTCCAGGTGTGCTGAGGAGGTGGAGGGCTCTGTGGTGCCGGACTTGTGGCTGCTGCTTGCCTCACTTGCCCTCTCAGCACCTTCCTGTCCCTTCGGTATTGTAGGCAGCTCTGGGAATGGGCCGACATCTGTATTTCCTGATGGTTTGCACACGGGCGATTCTAGACGCACCTCCTGTTCCTGATGACTGAGCTGGGTGGGGAGACAGCTGCTCGGCCTGAGGTCTTTGACCATAGTAAGTTTGAGGAAATCGCAGTCCTCATCTTTTTTCTTTCTCTGACGTTTTTTGTGATTTTTTATTGTCATCCTTTTGGACTTCTTCATCATTCAAATCAAAACTCTGAAATGTATTCAGCAGTTTCACGAGACCATCCAGTTTTCCTTTGGTACGTTTTGTTTTGTCCTTGGGGCACTCCTTGCCTCTACGTTGATTTTCATGAGCAGTTGATTCGTCAAAGCCATTGCCACCGGCCCAGGCCACAGAGATACCTAGTTTGTAGATCTGCTGAGAGTCATCCAGAAGTAGCTGTTGTAGGCTGGGCCATCTCTTTTTCCCTTCAGGCCCCCACCTGCCTTGGACAGAACAGATGAGGTCGCCTGAAGAACACACAGTGGGAGTCGTGTCTTCAAGAAGGATGATGTCCTCACAGGATGAGAGCTCTTCACAGCGGAGACAGTCCCCAGGGAGCTTCAGTGTGGATTTGTTTTCGCAATTGCAGTCCTCTGCATCAGAGGGGCCGCTGCTAGGGGAAGAGGATGCCATGGGGTTGAAGAGCCAACGTTAGAGTCTCCATCACAGGGAAGCTTTCCATGGGGAAAAAATGGGAGATATTGGGGAGAAAACTCACTGCCAATTCCTGGAGCACAAACAGGAGATCCAACTCCTGGAGCACAAACAGGAGATATGTGAGAGTCTTCGGCACTCAAGTGTCAGTGGCTTATGGTGAGCTAGGTCATAATCCATCTTCTATGACTGCTGGTTACCGTGGCAATATTCAAACCAGTAAAGTCAGACAGTAGGAATAGAAAGGGGCAGGAAACCATAGGATCTATCCCTTCCTTCTGAAACATCATGACCACACACCATGCAGGCTGAAGGATCCCTCTTGTTGCCAGAAGGACAAGGCCACAGAGTGAGGGTTCCTTTCTTCTTGTCTTGGGGCATCTGAGATCCTTCCTGTCCTCTAGGCACAGAGACCTTTTTTGGGGGAGAGCTGCATAAACACCCTGGTCTAAGTCAGGGTGATAAGTGCATCAGAAGAGCTTAAAACTCAGTCCTGAGAGGATAAAGGAGGGCACCTTATGAAGCTGAGCCCCATGTCAGCAGGGCACCAAGACAGACTCTAAGGAGAGGCCTTCTGACCTGAGAGTTCGTGGAGCCCTGGAGCGGAGGTGACAAAGAGGTGGGTGCCCATGCACTGGGGACTGTGGCTGCTACGGTCAACCACTTCCTATTCTCATCTGTCTGGCAGCAAAGCAAGGAACCCAAGCTCCTGTCCTTCATCTTTAAATTAGTCTGAGGGCTAATTTTGTGTGCCCACTCCACCTCACACTGGGGGCCCAGAGGCTTGGTAAGACGTGGTTCTGGGTGGCTCTGGATGAGACCAACATTTTGATCCCACAGATAGAGTCAAGTAGAGTCATCTCATGCCATGGTGGGCTCTGTGTGGTCAGGTGAGGTCAGAACAGGGGAAAAGGAATTGCAGATGTGTGAGCCGCAGGTGAGTGCGAGCCCCAGCCTGGGCTGCCTCGGGCCACCTGGGCACTGCCACCTGCCAGCCCCAAAAGCTGATGCCACCAAAGCCCGTTCTCTGAGCCGTCGGCAGCTGTGTGGATGAAATGAACATGTATGAGAAGAGTGTGAGGTGTAGGCCTGCAATCCTAGCCCTCCAGGAGCTTGAGGAAAGAAGACCAGGGCTTCAAGGCCAGACTGTACAATTTAGAACATCAGTGGCCCTGTCTCTAAATAATAAAAAAAGGAGTGGGGATGTAGGCTAGTGCAGAGGCTCAGGTTCAATCCCATTTCACAGATAAACAAATAAACATGTATGACTGATGTTTTTGACACCAGTAAAGCATGTCACTGAGGGAATGAGTACATAAAAACTTTATTTGCTGTGCGGCCATCAGCTCCAGCAAGAAAGGTGAGATCTGGGATGCTGCTCTGAGATCCCTTCTCCCTCCAGCCTACTTGGGCCCAGTCGCCGGGATAGTGGCCTCGCCCTCCCCTCCCTGTGCCACCATGAGCTCCAGCAAGGAAGGTGAGCTAACATTGCCATTCTTGAACACACATTCCTTGTTTTACTGTATATTTGTTTTATAGCTTCTCTAAAATGTCTTTTTTCACTGTTTTATTTTATAACTACAACTTTATTGTTTAAAGTTTATTTTTATTTGTATGTGTTTGCAGTACACAGTGTTTACATTCCTTGTGTGGAGTTGGTTCATGTACATAATATATCTTAATTCCTTTTTCCATCCCCTTCCCGACCTCCTTATCCCCTCTCCCACCATCTCTGGACTCGTTTCCCATCTGAGAAAGACCTATCTGCCTATTTCCTATTTCCTACCTAAAATTGTCCTTTTAAGCTGTTTTAAACTTGTTACTTGGCCATATTCCTGCACATAAGACCTAATATTATACACAGGGAAAGAGTCCAGTAAGAAAATAAATAATGCAAGCCTGGAAGTAATTTACAATCATCTTTCAGATCATTTGGGATTTTGATAAAATCTGCCAAAAATTGCAGTCAATATGTGAGACTGCATTTTCGACATATAAATAAATGTAGGTAGTTATAATATCTAATTCAAAACTGCAGCCTATCCAGAAGAACAAGAAAAAAAAAAGCTTTTCTTTTTCCACTTTAAGTTTAAATGGGCCAAGTTAAACTTCCTCTCAGGCTGAAAGATGCTGGTAGAATTCACATCATGGTGAATATTATTACAGCTGAGAGAGAAAGGGTCCTGACTGTGTTTCCAGAAAATCAGTCTGAAGTACCCTGAGCCCAACCAGTAAATAAAGTAGGACTCAAAGTGTGCCATGTCAATGGGCCAACTGTATATTTCCTTAATGTTTTGACTCATTGGCACACTCTCCCTCTAAGTGGGTTGGACCCCACTTCATTTTAGAAACTTTCCCAGGGTAACTGGAAGGTGCCTTCCTTTAAACTCACTGGGTGGCAGCAGTCCTGCAGAACAGGTGGCAGGAGGGGGTCACTGACCAAATAACCTCTTGAACTTTATGGAAAGGCAGGCAGGATACAGCTGCCCCAGCCAAACATTTCTCCCTGCTTCTTTAGAAGCTGCTTAGGAAGCTTTCTTTGGTGTAGAAACAGCAAAAGGGTCCAATTGCTTTCAGTTTTTCTGGGCACTTCCAATTCACCCCAAGTTCGAAATCCAAATAAACCAGCGGGGTGAGTAGTGAATGGGACAATCCTGGCCCGGGAGTGAGCCTTCTGCCTTTGTGAGGAGGAGTCATCCAGGAGGAGCTTGGCATTCTGGACAGAATCCAGAGCAAACGGCCCCTGAAGGCAGCTCTCCCCACACACCCAGGGTCTGTCTACTCTTTTAATACACACACACACACACACACACACACACACACACACAAATACACACGCACACACGGAAAATGCAAAAATGCAGCAAAAACATTCCTACCAAACTCTTAGGAGAATAACTAGAAAACCATTGACTGCAACGTGCCAGCCTGGGAGTTTGGGCAATTACAGACAGAAAACTTCAACTTCATGAATATTCAATAAGAATCAATAAATGTGCTTTTGGAAAGTTCCCATCTAGAACTTCCAGCTCATTCAACATTTACCTTCTTTCCAAAACATCTGATATGAGAGCCTTCCTCTTCCTTTCCCAGAGAATGTTGGATGTGTGTTAGGTTTTCCATATCAACTGTGCAAACAATGACTTTCCCTGTTCCTTAACTCAGACATTAACATCTGCAGAGAAGGTATTCATTTTATTAAAAATGTTCAACATTGTAATATTTAAAGTATTAATGACAATAATGAACTGAAGTAAGTAAATTCTTTGACTTTAGTAAATTTTTTGACAAGATATTAAGAAACAGTAGTTAAAATTTGAGCACCCTTTATTTTTTAACTTAAAAACTTTTGACATTATCTCCTATCTCATTTTAATTTTGACACAAATCCTTATTAAAATGAAGAGGAATAGATACTGTTTATTACTAAAGTTGCAGTTTTCTTGTTAGCCATGCTTATTATTAATCAGTGCCACTACATAACTCAAAAACACAGAAACTTAGAAAAATCTTGCAATACCTAAAAAACTTGAGACTCAATCGAACAAAGAAACGAGAGTAATTTGGCAGACAAAAGCAGATTTAACTGTCAGATAGATCTTCACGACTAGCAGGAACTTCAAGAAAGCTGTCTGGATCTTTGAACCTCATTTTCTTATCCACAAAATGGGCATAACAAAATTCACCATGCAAAATTGTTGTGAGAATTGTAGATGAAATAGCAAGGGGCTGAAGGAAAGCTTCTCCTTCTTCTGAAGGTTTGCTGGAACTCGTGAACAATAGATGAATTAGCAAGATAAAAAGATGTGCAGACTTATCGTGCATGGGGGTGATGTGGCGGGGTCTACCCGGTAGTTCAGTGAGTTCTAGATACTTGTTCACCTTTTTTCATAGGAGGGGAGAGAACGTAGGTAACTTTCACTGCTAAGAAATGATATTAGGGATGATGGATGGACCCAACATAGCAAGGTGCTATATTTTTGGGTAAAGTTAATTTTTCTTTTCTTTTCTATTTTTTATAGATTAGGCATTTTCCTATAAATGTGTAGGAGTTTGTTATTTATATTTAAAAAGTTAAACTCATTGAGGGACCCAGCTGCCTAAATCAAATGGGCAGACACAAATAAGACAGCAATGACTATGCAGGGGTTCTCTGTAAAACTGAGTCCTACGATTTCCTTAAACTCAGTAAAGGTGTAGGACATCTGTAAAGTGAGAAAAGAGGAAAATCAATCAGATCTCTGACCTTTATTGAACATTAAATATGACTATTAACACTTTTCTGCACCAAACATTTACTGAGCAACTACTACATGTATCAGGCTTTGGTCTAAATGAAAGGATATTATAATAAAGAGAAAAAGATAAGATCTCCACTTAGGTGGAGCTTATTTACCGAATGCTTCTTGACTTTTGGGCACATTTCCTGAAGCCTATTCACCTATTACTTCGAAAACACTATTATGAAGTATTATTATTTCTTTTGTTGCTGTTGTTCAGATTTTCAGGTAGCAAGCAATTTGGGGCAAGAATCAGCATGTGAACCCAGGCAGCCCGGATCCAGAGCCTACTTGTTTCATCATTCTCTTTTAAATGAGATAAAACTGCAACTACATGCAGTCTTCACTTAGAATGGTTGTGCAGGACCATGAAAATGACTGTGCAGGCAGAAACCTTGCAAAATAATAATCTCTAGGAACAATTATTAGATATTGCTGTCAAAATATTAAAAATTCTGCACAGGTCATAAAATTGTATAATAAAAACAGGTAAAGCATATTATATCTAATATCTAGCATATTATAATTTATGACTAGAAATAATATTAAAAAACTAAAGCTTTTCTTTGTTGAGCAGTGTGTTCTCTGTGCTTTTATGTGATGCTCAGTCATGTGTACGAGAGGACACAGAGGAGAGGCCCAAGAAATCAAAGTGTACAGTATTAAGGTCACAGGTTCCAGTGGCCAGAGGCACAGCACATGGGGAAGACTCAGAAGGGTGAGGAGGCAGAAGACAGGAGCCAGGGAAAGGGTTAGGCCAGAGCCTTTATTGTGGCTTCTGAGGGAAAAGGAAGACAGGGAGGGTAAAAGTTTAGGTTGGCGGATTTGACTAATTTCAACAGATTTTGTGCTATAGGATCCTGATTGCCTGGAGATGGCCCTGAGGTGACTAAGGCAGAAGAATATCCTGTGGGTGGGCCCCACAGAGAGGGGCCTGGCTCAGAACTATGGTTAATTCCTGTATCAGAAACAGTTCCTGATTGATCCTTTCCATCAGGATTGGCTAGTTCCAGGAGAGGCAGTCTCTTCTGAGCCAAGAGGGCTTTTGAGGTGTCAAAACATATAATATACAGGAAAAATATAGTAAAAATACACAACTCTACCTTTTTGTCATATAGTTTACAATACTGAGCAAATATCTCCTCTACACCTTGATAAATTGTCGGTATCTTTCTACATTTGGATTAAATTCTGACATTTTATCCTTTGCCTTTTCAATACCATGAAATATCTGAGTGTTCCATTAATGTGATTGTTTTTGCTGACATCATTTCTCCTAGGACATCTTCCTCCTTTCATCACTTCCTTAGTTGACTCTCATGCAATTACTTTGGTTGCTTATGTAGAGTCTAGAACGACTATCGACCTTCCTGTGCCGAGTTATATCTTCTTGACTTTATGTTCAATTTGAATTTTACTTCCTATGTTCTCTTCTTTGATTCCTTTGTTTCACTTGTTTTGATGGTTGGTTCCCTCCATTGATTATCCATTTGTCAAAATGTACTACAAGTTCTTCCTGGAAGACAAGGCATACTTCGCTGTCAGTTTGTGAAATGAATGACCGAGGCACAGTGACCTGACACTGACAGATTTTGAAAGAAGTGACATGATCAGTCACTAACTGGCACAATGCAGATACTTACAGAGTGATTTGTGTCCTAAAGAGGTAACAGCAAAATTCATGCTTCATACAAGGATTCAGAGCTCCTATACATGGTGACTGAAAACTGAATCACGCTGCTTCTGTTTGTCAACTGATGTGGCTGAAGTTGGTGCACACTGAAATTCTGCCAAGGAAGGAATACCTGCTTTTTGTTGCTGAATCATGTGCAACTGTGGCAAAGAAATGATACTACATCTTGAAGACAACACTGATTTTATTTTGTCAAATTGTTTTGTTCTGTTGTGTAAAATTGCAGGGTGTGGCCACAGAGCACTACTGTTAATCATACAGTTGAAAATTCAGCCCACACATCTCTCCTCACCCAAAGGGCCTGCTCCTTTAGGGTAATATCATCTAATTCCCAAGGCTGTAGTGAAGATATTTTCTGTCGTCATGAAAACACTTCCATCATCTCCCTGTTGGGGTAGGAAATATGGAAAGAGAATGCTGCCTATCACAACAGGACAGAGCTATACACCTAGCTCCTACTCCCTGTCTTCTAATGTGCAAAGTCTAAGCAGTATGCCACTTATG